CCGGTCGGGGAGCCCCGTGCCCCCCAGCCTCACGGGGGCCCGCTCACTTCCAGGGGGTGGGATCCAGGTTCCCAGATCCCAAAGGAGGACTCGGGGAGGGGCCAGGCGGTGTCTGCAGCCTCCAAAGCACTGGGCGGACCGGAAACAAGGCCCGGGAAGCGCCGTCCCCTCCCGGGTCCTCAGCAGCATCACCCACAACCCTCCCTCCGCTCACAGCAACTTGGGCTTTCCCTGCTCTTGAGTTTAGCCGCAGGCCCAAGATGCAAGAGGGAGCATGGGGGGCCTTTTCCTGGCTCGCACCCTCCACCCCCTCCGGCCTCTGCCCGCCGCCCAGTTCCAGAGCGGCCTCCGCACTTCCAGGGGCTGGTGGCAGCCGCGCCCCACGTCTCGGTGCCTGTCTGTGTCCCAGCCCGTGTGTGCCCCGCCAGTGGGACGCCGCGGCCGGGTGATTCGAGGACCACAGACGCTCAGGTCTCACAGTGCCTGCCGCACGCCCGGCCTCGGCACCTGCCGCCCGGTCCTCTCGCCACTGGCTCAGCGGCGGCCGCCAGGAGGCTCTCGGGCCTGAATGGGCCTTAATCTCATCTTTGTCCTGTGCCGCTCGACCCAACTCAGGCATTTTATCGGGCCTTTGTCTCACAAAGCTCTTAAAATCCCGACTGTCCAGGCAATTGGCTTTTCTGGCCTTGCGCCGTTCTGAATTTCCGGCCGGTCTCTATGCGCAGCGCCATGCCCGCTCGCACGCGGGCGTCCTGAGCTCGGGCGCTCTCCTCTGCCCGCCCCACAGCCGGCGGCGGCCGCCAGCACGCGCAGCAGGCTCTTCCCAGCTCCCTTCCTGGGGCTGCGGCCCCAGGTGTTCCTGTTCTGCCCCCCACGTTGCCAGGAATGCTTTTTTATTTTTTAGCAAATCTCCTGCCCGGCATCACGTGGGGCCCTGCTGCTCCAGCCTCGGCCGCCACGGTCACCACCCGGCTGCCGAGGCAGGGCCAGGGCGACCGTGACTGCGCCCGTGAGTTTGCTAGTTGCCGCAGCACAGGCCGGTCCTTCCCGATCGGTCCCGAGCCGGCTCTCTGAAGCAGGCGCCGCCGAGGCAGGACACGCAGGCCAGCAAAGACCTGCAGCACCTCCGTGGCGAAGGCAGAGAGCTGCTCCTGTCGTGGGTCTGGCCCCGCTGGCCTGACCTTGGCAGGGGCGTCTACACGGCCACGGAACGTGTCCAGGCCGGCCGTGGTCACGAGCACGGGCAGGGGACTGGGTTCACCGACACAGCCCATCGTGGGAGGAAGGATGACCCACTGGTTTTTTGTTTGTTTGTTTGTTTTTTGAGACAGAGTCTCATTCTGTTGCCCGGGCTAGAGTGAGTGCCGTGGCGTCAGCCTCACTCATAGCAACCTCAGACTCCTGGGCTCAAGCGATCCTCCTGCCTCAGCCTCCCGAGTAGCTGGGACTACAGGCACGCGCCACCATGCCCGGCTAATTTTTTTTTTTAATATATATTTTTATTTGGCCAATTCATTTCTTTCTATTTTTTAGTAGAGACGGGGTCTCGCTCTTGCTCAGGCTGGTCTGGAACTCCTGACTTTGAGCGATCCTCCCGCCTCGGCCTCCCAGAGTGCTAGGATTGCAGGCGTGAGCCACCGCGCCCGGCCTGACCCAGTGTTTAGGTTAGTCAGTGGCTGGGCCAGGAGGAGGCACCTGCAGCCCGGTGAGCCCGTGGATCAGAGTCTGGGCCTGGAGTGGACGTAGGGACTGCTGGGCTTTGGGCAGCAGAAGACGTGTTTACAAGTGAGAAGAAGAAGAGACAAGGCTGTATGTTCACCTCACCGTTCCTTCCCCCAGGCAAATGGAACGCTCAGTGTGGTCGCGTGGAGGTCATGTGACTGCGTTCTGACCAATGGGGAGCAGGAGGAAGTGATGCAAGCTACTTCCCACGTGGCCCTCCCCCTTCCAAGGTGACCTTGAGGCCAAATGGTCCCCAGGCCAGAAGATGAAGAGCTGCTCAGCCCACGTCAGACCTGGGATCGTGCGAGTGAAGCACCTGGGATCAGGGTGTGTCTGCTACGGCCACTCAGCCTCACTCCTAAGTGTGGTCCCCCGACCAGCCCCTCCCCGTTGCCCGGGAAACGTGGCAGAAGTGCAGATTCCCAGGCCCTGCCTGGCCCTCTGCAGTCAGGGCCTCGCAGTCAGGCGTTCACAGGCCCTCGGGGAGCCCGATGGCCGATCCCACCAACAAGGTGTGGCGGACACCCGCAAGCGTGTGCTCAGGGCACGGAACCAGGTGTCCCGGCTGTGCAGGCCACGCCGTGGCAGAGTGGCTTGCCCACGGCGGCAGCGCGGGTGAGCGCGGTGGACACAGGTAGGATTGCAAGTGGAGAGAGGTTTGGGTTCTGCGTCTCAGAAACGAAGCCACTGTCAACGGGAAAAAAAAGCCAAACTCTGTAAAATAATTTAAAAGAGGTTTATTCTGAGCCGAATTTGAGGACCGGGACCCAGAGCCACGCCCAAGAAGCCTTGAGCAAGTTCAGTTTGGTTTTATACATTTCAGGGAGGCAGGGGTTACAGGTGAAGTCACCAATCAATACTTGGGAGGCACACATTGGTTTGGCCCAAAGTGGGGGGCTTACAGGTTATGGGTGGGTTTAAAGATTCTTTGGCTTGTAAGACAGGAAGCTTTGCCTCAAAGCTTGGAATGTTTGGACATAAGGAGCTGTTATCAGAGATAAGCCACTGGGCATAGATTTGTTGTGTAAATTGAGGATCTGCAGGTGTGTCTTGCAACTCCTAGGCCTGTTAATGGGTTATAAAGGATGTCTCCAAGAAGGGAAGGGGCCATGATGAGGCCTGTCTGACCTCCCTCCTCCTGGCAGGCAATTTAGTTTTAGGTTATTCCTTTCGCCACGAGGGGGTCCATTCAGTCAGCCGGGCTGACAGCTGGGACTGGGCGATGGAGCAGCGAGGCTGGCGGCCGCGAGGCGCGCAGAGAGGCGCGCGCGCGCGCGCGTCGACGGAGCGCGGCTTCAGAGAGCGAGCGGCTGGCCAGCCGCGGGGCGGGGGCTCGCGTGCCTCCGTCGTCACGGTATGACCAGGACCTTTAAATGACACCCAGAGAGCGCTGGTGGAGGCGTTCACGTTCAGGAGCACGCTAGGACGGGTGTTTCCGAAGGGAGGCATTCGGATGGTGAGTTGGATGAGTGTGTCCGGCCTGTTTCGCTGCTGGTTAAAGACAATAGACCCCGTAACTTAAGTGATCTTATCCGCACGGAAAGTTTATGTGGGCCGGCGCCGGGCGGCGGTGGGCCCGCTGTAATCCCAGCACTCTGGGAGGGCCGAGGCGGCGTGGATTGCCTCGAGGTCAGGAGTTCGAACCAGGCGCGTGAGCAAAGCGGAGGACCCGTCGCTCTACTAGTACAATAGAAATGAATTTAGTTGCCAACTTGGGAATAGTATATGAGAAAGAAGTGAGCAGGGCAGTGTGGCCTCACTGCCTGTAGTGCCCGCTACGTCGGGAGCGAGGCAGGAGGGAGTCGGCGTGTCGGAGCCAGGGAGCTGGAGTTGCTGTGGAGCGCGACGGGAGTCGGAAGCGGCAGAGAGAAGTCAAGAGAGAGAGAGAAAGAAAAGAAGAAAAAAAGGAAGAGAGGAAGAGGAGAGAGCGTGTGTTCGCGCCGAAAGTGTAGAGCAGGGGTGGCTGGGGTGATGAGTTGTAGTTTTTTCCTCAAGAAGACACCCTAGGGCTTATTTTCGGGGTAGGGCTTCCATTGCGCACACGCGTAGACATCCTGCTAGGGCTTGTTTTATGGGCAGGTCCTATTTCAGGGAAACACGCTATTTCATAGTTCTGGAGGCTGGGAAGTCAAAGGTCAGGGCATGGCGGGTTCACGTCTTGCTGGGCCCCCAGTTTCTGCTTCCAGGATGACGACGCCTTGTTGCCGTGTCCCCGTGGCGGGTGGTGGCAGCGTGATGCGGGGACAACCATCCCCAGGGCCTCTTACAAGGGCGTGAGCCTGTCCACCGGGACAGAGCCCTCACGCCTTCATCGGTTCCCAGAAAGCTCCGCTGCCGGGGGCCACGTTCCAACGCGAATTTTGGACGAGCACACTCAGGTCACAGCGCTGAGGAAGGCCTGCTGGGCCCAGGGTGGGCGGCCACCGCTCAGCAAGCCTCGGGCCTGGGTAGAGGAACAAGGCCCGGGAAAGGCAACTTGTCCTCCCTCTGCCCGGGGGCAGGGACTCCCGTCCTGTCCTGCCCGACAGCAGAACCCAGGCTGGTCCAGACTTCACACCGGGGCTGCGCCCACAGCTCCCCACGCTCTCGGGCCCTGTCCTCGTCACCGCTTCCTGGTCCTTCAGCTCACAGACGGCGTGCCTGGCACTTCTCAGCCCCATAACCATGTGAGGCCCTCGCCAGAGTAAGTCCCCTCCCATCTATTCATCTACCTACTTATCTACGTACCTGCCCATCCATCCATCCATACCTAGCTATCTGTCCATCTACCTTCCTATCTACCTACCTGCCCATCCATCCATCCATCCATACCTAGATATCTGTCCATCTATCCATCTACCTTCCTATCTACCTACCTGCCTATCCATCCACCCACCCATATCTAGCTATCTGTCCATCCATCCATCTACCTACCTGCCTATCCATCCACCCACCCATATCTAGCTATCTGTCCATCCATCCATCTACCTACCTATCTACCTACCTACCTATCCATCCATATCTAGCTATCTGTCTATTCATCTACCCACCTGCCTATCCATCCATCTACCTATCTACCTACCTGCCCATCCATCCATCCATCCATCCATCAATCCATCCATCCATCCATCCATATCTAGCTGTCTATTCATCTACCTTCCTATCTACCTACCTGCCTATCCATCCATCCAGCCATATCTAGCTACCTGTCTATTCATCTACCTTCCTATCTCCCTCCCTGCCTATCCATCCATCCAGCCATATCTAGCTACCTGTCTATTCATCTACCTTCCTATCTACCTACCTGCCTATCCATCCATCCAGCCATATCTAGCTACCTGTCTATTCATCTACCTTCCTATCTGCCTACCTGCCTATCCATCCATCCAGCCATATCTAGCTACCTGTCTATCCATCTACCTTCCTATCTACCTACCTGCCTATCCATCCATCCAGCCATATCTACCTGTCTATTCATCTACCTTCCTATCTGCCTACCTGCCTATCCATCCATCCAGCCATATCTAGCTACCTGTCTATTCATCTACCTTCCTATCTACCTACCTGCCCATCCATCCATCCATCCATCCATCAATCCATCCATCCATATGCTACCTGTCTATTCATCTACCTTCCTATCTACCTACCTGCCTATCCATCCATCCAGCCATATCTAGCTACCTGTCTATTCATCTACCTACCTATCTACCTACCTGCCTATCCATCCAGCCAGCCATATCTAGCTACCTGTCTATTCATCTACCTTCCTATCTACCTACCTGCCTATCCATCCGTATCTAGCTATCCATCCACCTACCTATCTAGACCCTATCTGCTCTCTCTGGAGAACACCGACTAAACAGACTGAAATATAAAAGTAAAAACGTTTATTGCATCCTTCCAGAAGGACAGAGAGAATGAGAGAGAGAGAAAGGGAAAGAGAGGAGGCGGGGAGAGGGCAGGGAGACGGCGTCCCGAAGAAAGAGAGAGGGTGTCCGCAGCGAGGCCAGGTGCCCTGCTGATTTTAAGGAGGACAAAGAGAAGGGAAATAGTGATGCCCTCAGTTGACAGCCAAAGCGGCAGCAGGTAGATGATAAACATTGTAAGGATGTCAAAGTCCAGGAGTTGGTTTTTGTCTTTTTTCGGAGCAGGGGTTATCACAAGAGACGTGACTCTGCCCTCCAGATACAGCTGAGGCTGCAGCTGGTTTTCTGTTGTTTGTTTAGGAATTTTGCAAAAGCATTTTTTTGAGACAGAGTCTCTCACTCTGTTGCCTGGGCTCAGCCTAGCTCACAGCAACCTCAAACTCCTGGGCTCAAGCGATCCTCCTGCCTCAGCCTCCCGAGTAGCTGGGACTACAGGCAAGCGCCACCATGCCCGGCTAATTTTATATATATATTTTAGTTGTCCAGCTAATTTCTTTCTCTTTTTTTAGAGAGATCCGGCTCGTCGCTCTGCCAGGCCTGGCTAGAACTCCTGAGCTCAAATGACCCGCTCGCCTCGGGCCTCCCCAAGTGCTGGGATGACAGGCGTGGGCCACCGCGACCCGCCGTGTAAACAGCAAATTTTCTTAAAAACAATTCGAAAGAGAGACAGTTAGTATTATACTACGTCTGTTTCATTCATTACGTTTTTTTTGTTTTTGGTTTTTAGAAGTTGTGTAAAGCAGAGCTCCTTCAGGGTTCCTGTCAGTTCCCAGGACTGATCTTTGGCTGTTATTAGGGAAATTTTAGGATTAGGTATTTTTCTATGCGGGGTTAGGTGTTTTTTGTTATTGTTGTTTTCGTAAGGCTGCCCCTTTCATTTTCTTCTTTTTTGATTAAAATTTAATTTCTATTGTAAATGAATTCAGAAAATTGGGGATTAGGGGTGGAAGAATTTTTTTTTTTTGAAACTGTTTTTTGTTTACTGTGGAAGAAGCAACGTTCCCCCCACCCCGACAGTTTATGTGGATTATCAAGGGGGGGGTCTCTGAAAATGGACCGTGTTGAAAGCTAAGGTCAGAGGGGGAAGGCGCTGTGTGGAGAGACGCACGGTTGGGCTTGAATGCGGTTTTGCATAAACGTTACTAGACAGGGGAGAGTGCAGGGTCGGAAAATGAGGCCAAAAGCAGAAACACAAGGGGCCTAATAAAGGCGCTAACCAGGAGAATTAGGACTAAAGGCGGATTTTAAAATCTCACCAGGCGAAGTCGTCAGGAGGTGTCTGTGTTTGCAGTGCATTCGTCCTCTTTGGAATGTTTTTAAGGTTGAGTTTGTATTTTCTTTTGACTGGCGAACAAAGAAATAGGAAATTTCTCTGGCATGGTATACGTGTCTCCCTCATTTTCAAAGACAGTCTTTGTGTGGAGAAGATTGAATTAAGTAAATCAGCGATGTTGGCAGCAAGTCCAGCTACTATTCCAATTACTGCAAGGGTGGCAGAGGCCGCAGGCTTGGTGGCCTGGTGGCATGAGGGACCAATGGCAAGGGCGTAGGGTCCTCAAGGAGCGTGGGGCCGGGAAGCCAGCACGCCGGGGCACGGGTTCCAGTCCTGCCGGCCATGGGGCACCACAGATGAGCATTGGATCCATAAAGAGAATAAGTTTGACTTCTGGGATTCAGGCAAACATCAATGAGTAGATTGAAATAAGGTCTCGTACGGTGGTCCCTAAAGTGTTCTGTGCCAAGGCCGGGCGCGGTGGCTCACGCCTGTCATCCTAGCACTCTGGGGAGGCCGAGGCGGGCTGATCGCTCAAGGTCAGGAGTTCGAAACCAGCCTGAGCAAGAGCGAGGCCCCGGCTCTACTAAAAATAGAAAGAACTTAATTGGCCAACTAAAAACATATATAGAAAAAATTAGCCGGGCGTGGTGGCGCATGCCTGTAGTCCCAGCTACTCGGGAGGCTGAAGCAGGAGGATTGCTTGGGCCCAGGAGTTGGAGGTTGCTGTGAGCTAGGCTGACGCCACGGCACTCACCCTAGCCTGGGCAACAAAGTGAGACCCTGTCCCCCCAAAAAACAAAAAAAGTGTTCTATGCAGCGATGAGTGGACACTAAAGTCATGTCAGCCAAGGGAGGGAGCATGAGGCCTATTTAGGAACACGGGAGAGGTTATGTGCCCAACCGAAAGAAGGGACAGGAGGGCCCCATCCCACTTCACACGCCCAGGAGGTTTTCAGTTTCTGATGTTCCTGGTGTTATCAGGTTGTTATCAAAAGGTACGTCCCTTAAAGGGGCACGATCGGGGAGGCGGGGGACAGATGGTATTTTTCCCTGCACCCCGTTTGGGCCCAGTGGGTGGTGACGTTGTGGGGTTTAGGAACACATGGGCTGTGAAAGGAATCCCAGCAGGCTCCGTGACCCAGTCGCGGCCAGCAGACAGCCGGAAAGCACGCTCCCAATCTGAGCCGTCAGAGAACCTTCCCACCAACGCCCTCGCGCGACGGGCAACTCAATTAGGCACAGGGGAGCTTGCTGCACCAGGGAGACGACAAGGCATCCCGCCTCCCTGAGATTACGCCTTAGCTCTATCGTGCAGATGGCTTGGGAGGGGCCGGGCTATTTTGAGTGGAGAGGCTGGGTTCCTGGTGCACCCCATGCTGTCAGAGCAGGAGGGATTACCCAGGGCTCGGGCTGACTGCACTCACCAGGTGGGACAGCGGGACAGGCCCCTTTTGTGGAGAGATCCTAGCGCCAGTCCAACAGTTTGCACAGGATTGAGGAGGCCAGGCAGTCTCAGGAAGGCAGCAGGGCCCCTCGGACCGCAGGCAAAGATGGATTCTGCACCACGCCCGCGGCGGGCGTGGGAAAAGTCGGACTATCCTTGTGGTCCTCGGCGCGGGCAAGGGAGGAGTGAGCCTGGAACCCGAGCTGGGCAGAAGCGTGAGGACAGGAAGCTGTCCGCACACCACTGCACGGCGACGCTCACGGTTTCGAAGCTCCCGTCGACTAAACCGGAGTCCGGCGTCCGTGATGGGCTGGACTTCGGGGGAGTTCGCCGTGGGCGGAGGCGGGTTCTGGAGGGTCTGCAGGGTGGAGTCTGGAGGGATGACTCTCGGACCCGGTTCCCAGAGCTGAGCTAGAGTGGTGGAAGCAGCGAGAGTTATTTAAAGCGTAGAAGAGGAGGCCGAGGCGGGAGGATCGCTCGAGGTCAGGAGTTCGAAACCAGCCTGAACAAGAGCGAGACCCCGTCTCTACTATAAATATGAAAGAAATTAATTGCCAGTAATATATATATGCCAGACAAAAATTATAGCCGGGCATGGTGGCGGCATGCCTGTAGTCCCAGCTACTCGGGGGCTTGAGCGCGGGAGCCTGAGGCGGAGGATTGCTTTGAGCCAGGAGTTTGAGGTTGCTGTGAGCTAGGTGACAGTCCACCGGCACTATCTATCTCTAGGCTCTGGGCAAAAGAAAAAAAAAGTGTAGAAGGGGGCCCAGCTTGTTCCGGCAAATCCTTGAGTGAAATCCGAGTTCTCGGGCTGTGAGGGTTTGTCGGTCTCTCTAGTGTATATATTGTCTGCTCTCTGTGTTTTGGTATGATCATCGCTGGGCAGGTAGGGGGCAGGCCGGGGCGGTGATATTAGATCATGCATGTGGATATCCAACCCAACTTACTAATTCCATTTCTTGAGATTGGTTTTCATAATTTTATATGTGTGACGGCCCCTAGGCCTAGAGAGGATGACTAACGTTGGGCCAGGTGGAATTCAATAGCTTAAAGCCTGGAGATGACTCTGTTTATCTACTTTAATATTCTATGTTGTCTGTCTATATATATCTCTAATGTCATATATGATGTATATTTAAATAAAAGTCGTGCCAATATTTTTAGTTCTTTCCATGACATTTTCTAAAGAAGCAAATCCGGCCGCAGCCGATTATATAAACTGCTGTTTAGGAAGAATCAGAGTGAGACAACCACCTTCGTATGGTAGTCTGTCTACTATGATAGGCCTCCTCTAGGTCTTGCTTACAAAGCAAAATTAGGCCTTATCTTTACAATCCAACAGGTTAACTAGGTGCCGCCAAACTCTTTAGTTGTTCGCTCATAATATAATCACTTAGTCGCGACCCCAATTCTTTATGTATATACATAACAGATTATTTCCAATTGATTAATATTGTGTCAAGGTCCTAGTAGATACTTATTATGATACTCTCACACTATGCCTTCATAGTGACATCCTTATGGACTAATAAAATATTATATTACATATACCACATACTAATAAATACTTATTACTTCTATCCCATTCTTTACCATAACGATAAAGATTATATATTAATAAATCCTATTTTATCGATTATCACTCCTGTATTAGAATTATTGTCCTTTTATTTTTATTTATTCTTTTTTATTGTTTCATTTTTTCTCCTTAATAATATTCGAGAACACTAGTAAGATATCCCCTTTATTATGGTTTTCTCTGTCATTATTTATTTTTCCCTTAAATCTCTATTCACCCAGTGCTAGAGTGGCCATTGGCATCAGCCCTAGCCACAGCAACCTTCAGACCTCCTGGGCTCAAGCTGATCCTCCTGCCCAGCCTCCCCCTAGTAGCGGGAACTCCCAGGCTCATGCGCCAACCGTGCCCCCGGATTATATTTTTTTTCCTTTATATATATATGTTATTGTTGGCCAATTAATTCTAGCTATTTTAGTAGAGCCGGGGTCTCGCTCTTGCTCCAGGCTGGGTTTCCAAACTCCCTTCGACCTTTCTTCGAGCGATCAGCCCTGCCTTGGTCCTCCCAGAGTGTCTATGTATTTTACAGGCGTGAGTCTCTATCTTCTTTTGCGCCCGGCCTGACCATGTTCTCTTTTTCCTGCAGGTCTAACCACAAACCTAATAAGCCTAGAGTAAGTTTCTCTGGGGATTCTAATGCTCTTCTGTACTTTATATATATATGTTCTTAATTTTGAGGTTAAAAAAAAATCCAGAATTTTGCTCTTGGAAAGCCTGTCAAACATTATAGGTCTAAAACATTTGTTTAAATAGAATTGCAGGTCCCTTCTAAGACAATGGGCTTTCTTTATTCTATCTCTCTATAGAATGGACAGGTCTTTAGAAACAGTGCATCGCGGTGGATATCTATTTTGTTATTGTTAATTTATCTTTTATATATCTTCTCATTGATGTATTATAGCCCAACAAAATAACACCAGGGAATTAATTTTTGAACCAAAGCATAAGATCTTATCTCTCTTAGGCCAGTCACCGAAGAGGCAAAGAAAATTTTCTTATAGTTACGACCTTGGCCGGTGGCCATCCTTTTATGTAGCTATTTCACTGATTGTATTAATTATGACTTAAAACATTTATACTTTTAATAACAATTGTTAACACTCGGGAGTCCGAAGGCGGGGCGGATTTTGCTCAAGGCCAGGATTCAAAACCAGCCCTGAGGCCAAGACCCTGTCTCTTACCTATAAAAATAGAAAGAAATTAATTGGCCAACTGATATATTATCATATATACCAAAAAAAAATTACCGGTAGCATTTTAGCGGGCGGCGCCATGCCCTGTAGTCCAGCTACCCTTCGGTTGGGGCTGAGGCAGGTTAGGTATTGCTCGGCCAGGAGGTTTGACAGCGTCTGCTGTTGAGCTAGGCCTGACCGCCCACAGCCACTCTACCTCTAGTGGGCAACAAAAGCAAGACTCTGTCTCAAAAAAAATAAAAATAAAAATAACAATTTTAAAACCAGTTTTATCAAAGGTTACCAAGGCCCCATGAACTAAGAGGCATTTGAGTTCTCTCAATGTTCTTAACAAAATCTGATGTAAGTGCTTATTTTTTCTTTAAGCCAATCAATTAGAGCTCTCTTACACATTTCGGTAGTGACACATCACATGCACATGACACGTGTGGACACGCAGGCATACAGACATACAGAGGCAGACAGTCTTAGGTGGAACAAGGCAGAAGGTCCTAGAGTTGAAGGCTCAGGGCATCCCAGGGAAAATGCCGCATGCAGATTTCTAGTTAAGCTTCTTCCCGAAGTCAGAGGAAGGGGGAAGCTATAAGATCTTCTCCCAGTGGGGGAATTGGGAGCACTAGAGCAGGGGGTCCTCAAACTTTTTAAACAGGGGGCCAGTTCACTGTCCCTCAGACCGTTGGAGGGCCGGACTGAAGTTTAAAAAAAACAACCATGAACAAATTCCTTTGCACGCTGCACATATCTTATTTTGAAGTAAAAAAACAAACAGGCAAAAACACCCGCATGTGGCCCGCGGGCCGTAGTTTGAGGACGCCTGCACTGAGGGTGGGCGAAGACTTTATCTCCCAGCTACGGAGAAGCTGCGGAACGCACAGGGGGTGCATTTTACCTTTTCCCTGGGAAGATGGGGGTAGGAGAGGGAAACCGAGGCCCTGGGAGTTCAGGGAGAGCAGAGGACGGGCCTCCCATGTTCTTACCTGTGCCAGAGACTCACCTGAGGCTCGGCTATCCCGGGGTGCGGAAGTCGAGTCTGTTCCGCAGCCTGACGGAAGCAGGTTCCGAGGGTGTGGGGGACGCCACCGTCCAGGGCGGGGCAGCCGGGTCCGGCACGCAGGTGCCGGCTCCCGTTTTTTAGGAAGAGGCCACTGGCTCTACCAGGGCCCTCCCTTTGTCAGAGGGGGCAGGGTCCTGGCGGAGCCCACTTCCTGGGCCATTGTCCACTCCAGGGACCCAGTGGGGGACAGCTAAAGCAGGGTGCAGTTCCCGGAGAGGGTCGCAGTCCTGATGTCCTCTTGCACGAGCCCGTAATGCTACTCCCCGTCTCTGGGGAGCCCCTTCCACGGCAGAGCCGCCATCTGAGAGCCTGTGCTGCTTTCGGGGCTGCTGTCAACCCCACCCTCTGCTCCCCTCGCCTCTGCCCGTCCCGGTTAGGAACCACCGAGAAGGCCAGGTCTGAAGTTCCGCACGTGGAGGCAGGCCGAGGTCCCTTCCCGAGTTTTTGGAGCTTACGCTGAGCATCGGGGCCGACTGGGAGATGAAGCGCCTCGCCAAGATGCACGGTCCCTCCCTGGTGTCGGGATCTAGGTTAGGGAAGAGGAGAATGACGTCAGACAGGGAGAAGACTGGAATCGCACCCTGGCTCCCCGATTTGGGTGCCTGTTGACGCCGCCACCGTCTGACCCTGCAGCCCCAGAAGGGAGCGGGTGTGCGGGGCAGTCCGGAATGGCCCACGCAGGTGTGGCCAGGGGAGGGGAGCAGAGGCGGAAGGAGGGACAGGGGACCCGAAAGAGAAACACCACCTAGGAGGTGAGGCAGGGAGAGAGAGGGGCGCAGGGGTGAGAAGTGGAGCCAAGGCCAGGACGTCCAGCGAGCTCAGAGGCAGTCCGAGGGTAGGGACTGCAGACCCCGTGCCGGCCAGCAGCGGCAGAAGGGCAGGCAGCCTCACGCGGAGATCCGCTTCCAGGCCAAGATTCCTGGTCATTTAATTTACTGAACGTTTGGATGGGGGGGGGTCACTGAGTCCCCACGGTCTGACCAACACAGGCAACTAGGAGAAAGATGAGGATGTTTTGGCCGGGCGCGGTGGCTCACGCCTATAATCCCAGCACTCTGGAGCCAAGGCGGGAGGAGATGGTTGCTCGAGGTCAAGAGTTCTAAAAACCCAGCTGAGCAAGAAGTGAGACCCCGTCCTACTAAAATAGAAAGAATAATTGCCAACTAACTATATATAGAAAAATGAGACCGGCGTGCGTGGCACATGCCTGTAGTCTCAGCTACTCGGGAGGCTGAGGCAGGAGGATCGCTCAAGCCCAGGAGTTGGAGGCTGGTGTGAGCTAGGCTGACGCCACGGTACTCTAGCCCGGAAATAGAAGATGTCTGAGAGGGCGTCCCCAACTCAGATGATCCCCAAAGGTCTGATCAGACATCAGGCATCCCTAAAAATCTGAAGTCGGACGCAAAAGCCCTGCTGGATCTGCCGAGAACAGGTGTCCCCAAACTATGACTCGGATTGTGACCTTGAATTCTTCCCCGCAGCCGGGCGTCCCTGGGTCTGGGTGAAGACTCAGGGGGTCCGTTTCCCCCCACTGCCACCCTCCCACGTGGCAGACCCAGCGCCGGGTTTCCCTCGACCAAACAAGAAAGCTGCCACTCTCCGCCTTGTGCCTGTGGCCGTTCCCAGAGTTTCCAGGGACCGAGTGACTCTCGGAGTCCTGAACGATTTGAAGGATGTCCCCGATGCACAGAGGAGCGTTCGGGACGGAAGCGGCTCCCCATCTGCAGGAGGAGAAATGAGAGAATGAGCCAGTTCCCTCATGGGGGAGAAAATTGACTTCTCCGAGGGGGCGGGCAGGGAAAAGTCCCCGGGGGGGGGGGGACACCAAATGAGGCAGGTGGAAAGGCTGGCAGGTGCTCACGGCACAGGTGGAGAAAGATCTCTCGCTCAGAGGTTAAGATATAAAAGTAAACAACGTTTTATTTTAAGGCTCTAGAGGACACGAGAGAAAGAATAGAGAAGGGAAGGGCGCAGGGACACGGCATGGCACCCCAAAGAAAGAGAAGGGGGCTCGCCAGGGCCACGCAGCCGCTCGCTGATTTTAAGGGGGACGCAAAGAGAAAAAATAGAGATGCCGTCAGTGTAAGGCTGGTGTCGGGCCTCCCCTAGGAATAAAAAGAAAAGGCTCAGGAGCCAGACCGCCAAGGACCAAGAGTGTCAGCCCCCGCTGAGAGGAACACCACCCCAGAATGTCCACCGACAAGAACATTGGGCTCCTGTTCTGCAAATACCGCCAGCCCTCCAACTTCTCAGTGACCATCCAAAGCTGCCCCAGCTCTCCTTATGCCCAAAAGTCCTAGCCTGGCCCAAATGCATAAAAAGGCGCACCCCTCTTCACAATGGGTGTGAATTCTGGGGCTTCTCTCTTGGGCCCCAGAACCTCGTCCGGAGCACTAAAAAAAGCCCACGTGGTTGGCCCCCCATCTCTTTCTCTCAATCTGTCGTCTTTTCTTTCTTTTTTTTTTGAGACACGAGTCTCCTAACCGTTTGTGGCCAGGCTAGAGAGTGCCGGCGTTCCAGCCTAGCTCACAGCAACCTCCCCCACACTCCTGGCTCAGGCAATCCTGTGCCTCAAGTCTCCTGAGTAGTGACTACAGGCATGTGGCCACCTCATGCCCGGCTGCATTTTTTCTATATATATAGTTGCCAATTAATTTTTCTATTTAAGTAAGAGACGGGTCTCGCTTGGCTCTAGGCTGTTCGACACTCCTGAGTCAAGACAATCACCCGCCTCGCGCCTCCCCAGAGAAAGCCACAGGATTTACCAGCATGAGCCACCGAGCCTGGCCTGTCTGTCTTTTCTTTTCGCCGCTGCCGGAAAACCTTACATTGGGCTGGTAACAAAAGCGGGAGCGGGCAGACAACAAGAACTGCAAGGGTGTCCAAGTCCACAAGTCGGTTTCCTGCCCTTCCCTGGAGAAGGGAGTATGGCAGGAGACGCAACTGTGTCCACGAGATGCAGCTGAGGCCGCAGCTCCTTCTCCGGCTATTTACTCCGCAACTCTGTAAAAGCAGATCCTCAAATAAAACACTTTTGAAAGACAGAGACTTCCACCTTTCTTCCGTTCCTTCGGCTTTTTCCGAGGTTGCGCAAAACAGAACTCCTGCAGGGTCTGTGTTGGTGAGAGAACTCACAGGACTGATCTCCAACCGTGACTGGGGAAGTTCTAGGATCGGGTATTTTCCTAGGCGGGATTAGGTATTTTATTTTATTTTTTTTCCCCCGGCTGTTTTCTGCAAAGCTGCCCCTTTCAGCGCCAGGCAGAGAATCCAACTTAACTCCTGCAGGTGGACATCCAGTCGCCCCAGCAACGCTTCCGAAAAGACTGTTCTTTCCCCCTTCGGACTGTCGCGGCCCCCTCGTCATAAATCGGCTGACCGCAAGTGTGAGGGCTTATTTCTGGAGTCTCGCTTCTGTTCCGCTTACATGTCTGCCTCTAGGCCAGTACCACGCTGCCTCCGCTGCCGTAGCTTTGCGGTAAGTTTGCGTCCGGACATGTGCATCCTCCAACTTTGTTCTCCCCTTTCAGGGTTGTTTTGGCTATTCTGGGGCCCTTGCATTTGCATGTGGATTTTAGGATCAGCTTCTAAAAAGCCAGCTAGGCTTTTGACAGAGCTTGCCTCGGATCTGTAGATCAGGGTGGGAGTACTGCCGCCTTAACAATAGGAAGTCTGCCCCGTGGCCATGGGACGCGGTCTTTCCATCTAATTAGACCTTCTTTGATTTATTTCAACAGTATTTTGTGGTTTTCAGTGTACAGGTTTTACATTTCTTTCGCTGAATTTATTTCTAGGTATTTTGTTCTTTTTTGCTGTTTTGCCATAAATGGGATTGTCTCCTTGATTTTATTTTTGCATCGTTCATTGCCAGTGTACAGAAATGAAATTGATCTTTTTTGTATGTTAATCTTGTATCCTGCCACACTGCTATACACATTTATTAGTTTTAGTGGATTTCTTAGGATTTTCTATATGCCATATGTGATAAGCAAATAGAGAGTTTCGTGCCTTAGTCCATTTGGGATGCTACGATAGAATATCGCAGACCGGGTGTCTTATAAGCAACAGAGATGTATTTCTCACAGTTCTGTGGGCTGGGAAGTCCAAGATCAAGGCGCCAGGAGATTTGGTGTCTGATGAGGGCAGCTTCCTGGTTCACAGACGGCACCTTCCTGTGTCCTCCCGCAGTGGCAGGAAGGGGCTGGGGGTCTGTGGGGCACCCTTTAGGGCACTAATCCCACTCATGAGGGCTCTGCTCTTGTAACCTAACTACCTCCCACAGGCCCCACTTCCAAATATAATCACCCTGGGGGTTAGGATTTCAACAAATAAACATAAAACGTTCAGACCATAGCATTTTACTTATTCCTTTCCAGTATGGGTTCCTTTTACCTATTTTTCTCTTGTCGATTTCCCTGGCCAGAACCTTTAGCACAACGTTGAATAGAACTGGTGAGTGTTCACCCCTATCTCGTCCCAATCTTGGGGGGAAAGATTTCAGTCTTTCAGCATCGACTGTGACCGTAGCTGTGGGCTTTCCACAGATGCCCTTATGGGGTGGGGAGAGAGAGGACATTGCCTTCTATTAATATTTCTAGTGAGTTCGGTGTTTTTATCAGGAGAGGGTGTTAGGTTCTGTCGGGTTGCTTTTCCTTCATCTATTGAGATGGTCGTATAGCTTTTGTCCTCTATGCTACTAATGCGGTGCATTGCTTTGATTGCTTTTTTGGATTTTAAACCCTCCCCTCCCTCCTTTTAAATATAAAGCTGTCCCACTCCCTGCCTGCCTTTGGGTCTCTGCCGAACACAAGTGACAGGGCTAACTCCCTTGCTAGAGCGAGCTCTGCAGGCACAGCCTCTGCGTGTCCTCAGGTGGGGGTCTGCATGTATGTCCACAGGAAACCGAGGCACTGGGGGCTCTGTAACGGCCCCGGGACAGAATGTGTGCTCCTTGGGGGCAGGGAGCCACCAGCACTGGGCCTCTGCCAGGCAGAGGAGTCTCTTGGGTAAACATCACACGCGACACAGAGGAGCCAGCGACCTTGTGCCTCCCACAGGCCCGGCCTCGCTCCAAGTGCCCTGGGCATATTGCTGCCCTTCACCTGCCCTGCAGGTGGGGAGACGGAGGAACCAGCCCAAGTCACGTGGTGTGGGGAAGACTTCTAGACAGCTCAGCAGCCCCACCTGCCCGGGCACTCAGCCTGCCTGGGCCTGCCCAGTGAGGGGAGCCCAGCGAGGGGGTCTCCTCTCCCAGGCACGACTGCCGGCAAGCCCCCTCCCCGCTCTCTCCCTCGTCCTCTGACACAGCCCGCCTTTGTCCAGTGTCCTGGAGCCAGGACGGAAGCTCCACTGGGCCCAGCTGCGCCCCCTGGGTGCCCACCTGCCCCAGAAGGACAGTCACATGATCATGGCATTGTTGGTCAGGGGTCCCCCAAGGTCCTTGTGAGGTCAGGCTGGTGGGCCGCTGGGAAGGACACCTTAAGATGTGGAGCTCACAGGCGCCAGCCCTGCAGGGTGGCCCCATAAACCCTCAAAGCCCAACCTTCCAGCAAGTCCCCAGGGGCCTGAGGCCAGTTCCAGCTGCTGCCCCAGCCAGTTCAGCACAGACGTCACCCCGTTGCGGCCCACTCTGGCCTTCAGGCCCCAACGCCGGCCGCCCGCCTGCCCAGCTCACCGCCTGCCCGCCCACCACCTGCCAGCCTCAGCCTCAGGCCCTCTCCTCTGCTCTGCTTGTGCCCAGCCCCACCTCCTCTCTGCTCCCCCAGCCTCACCCCTCCGCCTGGAATGCTCCTCCCGCCCTGCCTGGCCCTGCACACTGCAGGGGTGCCCCGGTGGTGCCCTCTTTCAAGCATCCTAGGAATTCCCTCCCTCCAATGTTGACAACACCTGTCCCCCCACCAGAGCCCAAGGTCCTCAAGAGGAGGGGTCCGGTTGCCTGGCTCCCCACAGCCGGTGCCTGGAACGGCGCCTGGCGCACAGCAGGCACCGCTACATATCTGGCACATGACTGAAGGAGGGGACAGAACAAGCAGGCCATGGGCCGGCGTGACCTGCTTTGAGGCTGGTGGACCAAGGACACCGCGTGCATGGATCTGCCCCCTCCTCCCACTCCCTGCCGGTGAGGTCACTGCCTCCCGCCGCCTCCCCCTGCCGAGGATAGAAGATACAGCCCACACCTCTCAGTGCCCTCAGCACTGGGGACAGCAGGCGCCCAGGCCATCACCGAAATGCTTTCCCGCACTGGAGGCCTTTTGTGTCCCTTTTACACAAAAACAACCCTTGCAAGCCCCCAAGTGAACACCTCAGTTTCTTTCCTTATGACGGCACTTCGCATGCACAAAACGCGAGACTGGGCATCAGCTTGTGCTTGTAGCTCTATGAAAAGCGCTAAGCCAAAACCAATTTACAGATTAATCACCAAGAAAACTACAGGAACAGAGCACAGATGGTCACTGCAGAGCTGCTCTGGCCAGCATTAGCTACTGGCCACTCAAGGCCATTTAAATCTAAGTTATCGTGAAACACAATGAAAAACTCAGTTCCTGGTGGCCACACTCTGGTGGCCGGTGGCCGCTGTGCCGGAGAGTTGCCAGACACAGACGTGCCCGTCACTGCAATTCCGCCTGGCAGAGTGCAGGAGGGGCCATGCTTTGCCAAGAGGGACCGGAGTGTAGGTAAGGGACAGCTCTCCCGACCTGGCCCCCCAGGGGAGCCCCTGTCCAGGGAGCAGCCCCAGGGGCCATCAGTTTTCCTGGGGAAGCCGGGTAGAACCTTCACGGTGCGCCCCCGAGGGCGTTCACCCCTTCACCCTGGGAGAAAGCGCCCCTCGCTCCCTGACCCAGGCTCCCCGTCCTCACTGGCCTGTCCTCACTGGCCCAAAGCAGCGAGCCAGAGTGCAGGGCTGGCATCCCCGGGCACACACGCCAGCACGTGTTCGGGGTGAGCAAGTCACCCTTTCCACGGGACCAGGGACTGGCTGCCTGTAATCGCGTTCTAGGACCGCCATGCGGACACCCCCCCTCCGCTGACTCTGGGGACCTCGTGCCTACCCAGGCTCCCACCCGCGAGAGCGCTGCAAGCAAAGCGCTATCATTGCAAAGCCGTCACCTTCTCCAGGGAGCCCTCCCGGATTGTCCAAGACGCCTGAGACGAAGGGCTGCAGACGCTGCACTGTCCTCGGGCGCAGGCCCCGCCGCCACCCCTTCGGGGGCTCGGAGGACAGCAGCGCGGGGGGCGCCTCCCGATTCCCGCACCCCGCACGGGGCACCCAGGCCCGAGGCCGCGGCCGCGCGTCGGTCCCGAGCCCCGAAGTGCGCGCGCCGCGCCGGGCCGTTGCGGCGCCCCCGCGCCGGCGCGGGAGGAGGGGGCGCGCGGGGGCGCGCGGCGGGCGGCTGCGGGCGGGCGCGGGCGGCCTATAAGCGGCGGAGCGGGGCGCGCCCGGCCAGAGAGCGAGCGCGCAGCAGCGGCCGCGACCCCTCCGCTCCGGCCAGGCCGTCCGCGCCCGGCCCCGCGCACCCCGCCCCGCGTCCGCCCGCAGCGCCGGCCCGCGCCGCCGCCCCGACCCGCGCGCCAGCCCGGCCACCTCCGCCCCAGCCGCCCGCCGCCGCCGCGCAGCCCGGCCGCGCCCGGCCGCCGCCGCCATGGGAGTGGATGGAGGGCTGCACCAAGTGCATCAAGTACCTGCTCTTCGTCTTCAATTTCGTCTTCTGGGTGAGCGCCGGCGG